CCGGGGGGGGGGGGTGGGGTGGCCCCTTCTTCGGGAGGCAGAAGCGATATGGCGACAGGTAGGTCGCCAGGATCGCTTCTGTTGTAAAGCCGACAGTCGGCTCTACAAGTTTAAACAGACTCCCGGCGGCAAAAGTCGCCGGGAGTCTGTTTAAACAGCCACGATGCTGGCGACGTACACTGTACGTCGTCAGTCACGAAGGGGTTAAAAGTATCACCGGAGGCCTAAATCAACAATAAAGTGTTATTTTGAGTCATGTCTTATGCCAACAATTACCTAAAGCAAAGCAACAAGATGCAAAGTTACATGAATGCATAGAACATGTTTCTGTGCAAGTACTGGCAATTTTAGATCCATAGTTAATAGATTTTGTGTAATTCATGTAACGTAACTTAAGGGAAAGTTATCGTTTAAATGAAAATTTGTACTGAAGGTCCATGGGGCTGTTATTGCTGATGACAAAGTGCTCGATACCGTGCTGTCAAACTAATTGAATGGTCTAGAGCCAGAAATCCTAAAATGCATGCGTGTACTGACACATGACTATTTTCCTGCTTTGCATCAATGGAAACATCAGTACTGTTGCCAGAGGTAGCAAGACAACAAGCACTTTCAGAAGTAGATAATATTAGAAACCTCCGTAGTTCTCTTACCAAGTGTACTACAAAAGATGTATTTCAAAGATAGAATTTTAACCACTTAATGACCGGTGTGTTAAACCCCCCTTCCTACCCAGGCCATTTTCAGTATTCAGCGCTGCGGGACTTTGACTTTTATTCTGTCATGCAACGCTGTACTGAAATTAATTATAGATCATTTTTGGGGACAGATAGAGCTTTCGTTTGGTGGTATTTAAATCACCACTGTTTTTTTGTTTTTGTTTTACTATATCATGAATAAAGTACCAAAATGTTTGAAAAAAAAACCACCCTGTTTTCCCCTACGTTATGGTTATAAAACATTATCCAATTTGTTGATACATAGGGTCATGTCAGGTAAATAGATACCAAACATGTCAAGCTTTAAAATTGCGTGCGCCCACAAAAAAAACACCATACCTAAAATTGGCCATATGCGATGCTTTAAAAGCGTTTACTACTAGTTTAGTGTTATCAGTGATTGATGGCCCTGGAATTATTGCTCACACTACGACGTTCGCGGCGATATGTAACGTGTTGTGTAAGCCAGGGGTGCCCATTAGGTCGATCGCAATCTACCAGTCGATCGCTAAGCAAACACTGGTAGATCGTGATCGGCTGTGCTCGTGCAGCTGAATGGGTCAGAGATCTGCTTAACCAGCTTATTCTCTGGCTATAGCAGCCAGAGAAATGACAGCTTAGGGCAAAAGTGATGCAATACACATCGCTTCTTCCTTTAGAAAGAGGAGCAGGAGAGATCAGCAGTGGGGGAATGCTGATCTCTCCTCCTCAGTATAGATGGCCAGCAGCGGTGGTGGAGGGGGCGCAGCAGCAGAGGGGGGGTGCATACTGTATGACATATTACAAGCGATCGGCCGGCTGTAGAACACGGGTGAACGCTTGTATGCAACAGCCGGTACCGGCTTTTTACATGCCCAGCAGGGGGCTTCTGCTCGGCGGCACGTGCAAGCAGAGAAAAAAAAAATACTTACAAGCACGTCCACCCCCTGGGAAGCAGCCGCTGTCCGCCCGTGTATTTACAGTGGGTGGACGGTAAGCGGTTAAATGTATGTCAGGGCAACATTGAAAACATTTTTCTTTTTTTAAATGCAATACATCTCTGCAAAACAAGCACACGTCCCCACATTTAATCCTTTACAGACCCTTGTAAATACAGGCTACTACTTGATGTGCCAGAAATGCACTCTAGTCCTGATTCCTCTTGTGGGTTGTGACAACACACATTTTTGTGGACTAAGTGGCATCAGCCCTGCCCAGTGGTCTTTTGCTAAACTACTCAATCCTCCTATCCTATTCTCCACAACATAAAGGCTAATTGGTCATTAGTCACATGCTAAGAATGGGGGATGGGGAGGGAGGCGTGCTTAATAGGCTCCTTAAGATAACAGGTAGCTTGCACAGGACAGCTCCAAATTTCTGACATCAACAGGTATTTTGCGCTTATGGAACAAATATAACAAAACACTATTCATGGTATTTTTAAACACAACAAAACAAAGCAGCTCAGAGAAGTTCATTGTTAAGGTTTACACTTTAGAAGAATGTTTGGTTTGCCTTATGTAGCACACCATCAAATGCTACTCTACAGTAAAGAGGCTTGCCCCTCTTTACTGTAGAAGGCAGTGTCAGCTGGTGTTAGAGGAATCAAAGCAAAGAAGAAATAAAATACACAAAACACGGAATTCAAATTATGTTGCTAACCTCCTAATTGGGTTTTACAATTTGACTTCTGGTCGAAAACGGAGAGCAAAAGGAGGCTTCAAATCCATTCTAGTCATGCCTCCTTTCCCATAAGCCAATTACTGGTGCCAGGAGCTTCTAAGCATTTCATTTGTTAACGCTCCAACTGCAGTGGTTAAAAGCATGCACTATAAATAGTTTTTCATGGTGAATGCAGAAGCCAATTCCTCCAAGACCCTTTGCTGACTGATTTAGAATCTATAGTACTTCCAATTTAGCCATCATGTCCATGAAAACCATTTCTACCATTCAATGCAGTTTACAAAGATCTTTTGAAGGCCGGCAGTATAAGGCTTATGCTAGCAAGCATGTATGGTCCTACATCCCAAGAGTGTCAAAATGGACAAAAATAAATGAATTGGCTGCAGAAACTAGATGAAATTACTAAAAACAGAAAACTTGGTGGCAGCAAAAAAATGTTTTGGGGCTAATTATACATCAATTTTAAGATTGCATATCATTCACAGGAATATGTATTTTTTATAGAAAACTTTATTGAACAGACAACATTTTCCAGCAAAAAGGCAATATACAGGTAGAGTTGTACACTGCTGCTAACAAGAGAAAAAATAAAAAAGTCAGGAAAGAATGTAAAATGAATTTGAATGGCTGTAACCTATTTACCGCACTCAAACTAGACACATTTCTGTCCTTAGGCTTTGAAAATGAGAAAAAGAAACCAAAAAGAAATAAATGAAACAAAAAAAAAAAATTAAAAAGGAAAGAAATAAACTACACACAAGAATATCAACATCAGTGAAAGACTAAGACAGAACCAACAATATGAACCTCCATGTGTTAATTTGTACATGTTCATTAAATATACACTTTTAACTTTAGGTCTGTAGAATTTGTACAAAGTTATCCTACTAAACACTAGTGAGCATGCCCTCTGTGCTCAAAGGCGATTAATGACAATGGTGTTTTTTTTTAATCTGCATCAACAACTATATATACACACACGCGGGTATACATAGATTTTGCCAGCTTTCATGTGTCTTTCTAAACGTCAAACAAGCAGTGCTGTACATCTTGCGTATTTATGTACCTCTACTAACAGATCTGCAAATCTGCTTGTTTGATAAAATAGAAAGCCAAAATTGAAGATATTGTGTGGTGGTAATTGACTATTCCCCAAAAAAGTGCCAACAATGTACACAATGAATTAGAGATTGCTATTTATTAAAGTGAGGGTTTCTGCATTTACAAATGCACAAGGATATCATTTTAAAGGGAGGAAATTTGTTGTGAGTGTAAACATAAGAGTTACTAGCTGCAAGGATGGTGGAATAGGAACAACAGGGTTGGCGGGCAGCCAGCAATCTTATGCCTCATACAATATCTTCTATGAACAAATTGTGCCAATTTCTTTGATCTACCAATTTATTCCCACATCCTACTTTACTCTGGCTTTACAATTACCATAAAATATCTCATTGGCATTCAAGCTTTATAAAAAACACCTTCATTTTACTCAAAAAGGGCAGTCAATAGATACAGAGAAGCCAAACAGAACAGCCTCAACAAAATAAAATTAACATCAGCAGCAAATTCTCTTGCTGTAGGCTTCTGATATAGTGCACGTGTACCAAAGTTCTAGCATTGTTAGAAATGTGCACACACACACACACTTATTTTGTCCCTTGTCTTGGATAAACTCTGTTACAGCGCGTCAGTTATGGATCTTAATTGCTTTTTCAAGGTATGTGTAGCGGCTTCTCTTTGGGGCTTTATTGAAGTGGTCGAGACCTAACCAAGGTCGAGGATGTGACATGTTACCTGTAGAAAATAAAACATTTACAAATATATCTACAGTGAGTCACAAATCATCAGTAACACATGCACCACAAACATATACAATCTTATTACAGAAAAAAATTAATACAGTATTTCAGTTATGGGTGGACGTAAGTTCCCCATTAGCTCCCTTATCGACTGACGACTTACAAGAAAGTTTTGTTTTAGCGCATGGGCTGGTGTGAACGAACCCTGAAAGTACACTCCATGAAGGTGGGTGCTTTACAGTACGACATTGATAATTTGGTTAATTCAGACCATCACTGTTCTAAACAATGACAATATATAAAAAAATGGCATTAAAATACTGGGGTTTATTTAATAGAGGCTGTTCATTTACCAAGGTGAATGTCTACTTTCCAGAGTGCATGTTCGTGTAGTTTAGTGAGCTGTGGTCACTTTGAACACCCAACCAAAATCCATGGCGCAAAGGTCAGGACAGCGAAAAACATTTACGTGGCTTAAATTACAACAAGATAGATTGCCAGAAAGGCCTTTCATTTAAGTCTGCAAAACAAGGTATAAAAGCCTACACACGGGAGTGCAGATCCCATCGAGTCAGAGCATTCACTGCTACTGCCAGAGGATTCCTGCATCAGGAAATTAGCTTGTTCAGCATGCAGACGGCCCAGGGTATAAAAAGGAGACTCCCTTCGACATCCTAAACCTGCAATGCAGTATCTGCATTTGCCCCTAGGTGCCTGGATTGCTCCCTCCGGACCCAAACAGTTGGGAAAAATTGGCCTCCCGAAGACTGCACAAAGTGGGCAGAGATGTCATGACATGAAAAAAAAAAAAAAAAAAAAAAAAAAAAAAAACCCCACACC